AGAGAGATGTCTTTCTTTATTTCTTTAACTAGCTTGATCTTTAGAAGCTATTAAACCATCCAATTTTTTCTCAAGAATTATCTGCTAAGTCAGCTGCTGTAGTACTATCGCCATTATCACTTCTGTTAGTGTTACCACTACTAGTACAAAGTGTACGTCCAGTTGTAGTTCGTCTAAATATAGAGGAGAATAGTAAGAAGGAGAGCTGGACTCACCTATTTGATTCTAAATTGGAAGAACAAGGAGACGGAGAAGAACTAGGGGAGGCACGAGTTGTGCTAGCAGCTGGAGAGGGAGCACAGTTTGTAAAGTGTGGCATCCAAATTTCCCTTTGTCTCATGGGAGTGTGAAACATCATTTTCTGTAAGTATACGATATGTTATAATTGAACTAAGTACTGCAGTTACTTAAGTCTTTTCATCAAAAATATGTTCTTTATTACTAGATCTGCTCACTGCCAGCTGCAATTTGCCAATTTCTGCCTTGAAGGAAGACAAAACTGCACATGTGCGTAATCAATAATTATAATAATAATAACAAAAATAATGTTAATATTGTTATTATTATTATTATTATTATTACTACTGCCACTACTACTATTATAGTTTTTATTTTTTTTATTTTTATCACTAAACAGTCATTATCAAAGTAGTAAAGGTATTATTGTTTTAGACAATGTCACTTTTACGAAGGAGATTAGGTAAACTGTCCTGTCCTCACTGTCAGGAGACAGTAAATAAAGTGACATACCAACGACATCGTCTTCTATACTTTAATCAGAATGAAAAAACGTGGCATTCCAATTGCAGCAAGCAGTTATTTTCATCAGATTCAGATAGTGAATTAGGTAATTCAGATAATAACAACAACATTATAGTTCTTTTACAATAGATATAGATGTTCAACATGACATAATACAGCAGAGTCCTGCAGTCAATGATTTTTCCCCACTCAGGGAGCAGCTAGGCCTAGATCATGATTCTTGCAATGGTGTGAAACTGGAAATGACAGGTATATAGCTTATCATTCATATAATTATTATACCGCACATAACATTGCATTCAGATGAGATTGGACATGATGAAGAAGACATAATCAGAGTTGAGATTGGACTAAAAGATGTTAATCAGTGAAAAATAGTGAACCATATATAATAGATTGCAAAGTTTGGGATGGAGTTGATGACCATGACATACAAGATTTCGATTTTACAGATAAATGCACTAGTGATTCGATTCCAGTCTCATCTCCAGGGAGTCCAATGAGAAACACTTTTCACCAAATCGTTCTGTTTCTGTCGCTTCTTGGAAAGTTTTCGATAACAGTTGGAACTCTCTTCTTAAGCTTTTCTCATTCTTCTTGCATCTCTTAGGATCAATAGTTTCCACATTAGCTCCTTTGGTGAAAATATTTCCAACATCATTGCATGCAATGAAATCTGTTTGTCACATTTTATCAGATTCATTTGATAAACTAGTGGTTTGTCCTTCTTGTCACAGTATCTATAGGTTGGATGATTGTTCCCAAATAATAGGTGGGAAAAAATTCCCTGGCAGTGTCAAAGGGTATTGTACCCAAATCACCCACAAGCATACAATTGTAAACCTTGTAATGAAAGATTGGCTGCAGAAGTACTATCCTTCAAGGTTTATTGTTACTCATCTGTGATAAGCCGTCTCAAAAATCTGTTAGAGAAGAATGGAGTTCTTAAAGCGTGTGAGCACTGGAGGACAAGAGAAATTGAAGATAATAAGCTGGAAGATGTCTATGATGGCAGAGTATGGAAGAATTTCATGTATTGCAACGATAATCCATTTCTTGCAGCTCCACACAACTTAGGTTTAATGTTAAATGTTGATTGGTTCAATCCATATAAGCACTCACCTTACAGTGTTGGAGCAATATACATTGCTGTTTTAAACTTGCCTCATTTGGAGCGTTATAAGATTAAAAACCTCATTCTGCCAGGAATTATACCTGGACCAACAGAACCACCACTAAATATTAACACATACTTAGAGCCATTAGTTGATGAATTAAGCCACGTGTTTTTAGAAGGCCTATATGTTAAACCAGATAATATGGAACAAACATTTTTAGTGTAAGCTGGTCTAATGATGGTTTCATGCGACATACCTGCAGCAAGGAAAGTGTGTGGGTTTTTGGGGCATGCTGCAATGCTGGGGTGCTCAAAATGTCTAAAAACCTTTTATACAGATGGCCCTGGTTCTCATGTGCCGTATTCTGGTTTTGAAGCTGCACCCATACCAACAGAAATTCTTCATCGTCAAATGCACAATGTGCATTAAACCAGATTACAGCAACTACACGTCAGAAAGTAGAAAGTGATACTAGAAGTCGCTATACAGCACTTATGGAGTTGCCATATTTTGATTGTGTCCGTTATCATGTGGTTTGACCCCTTGCACCATCTTTTCTTAGGTACAGCCAAGCATATGATGAAGAACATTTGGATGAAAGAATGGGATGAAAATGTCACAGCCCTAACTAATAGGAACCTTTCAGAAATACAAGAGAAAGTTGATTTCTGCATAGTTCCTAGTTACCTCGGACGAATACCAAGGAAAATAGCATCTAAGTTCTCTAGTTTTAAGGCAGACCAGTGGCAATCTTGGACTCTAATATTTTCTGTGTGTGCCCTTAAGGGATACTTGGTACTGTGCATTTAGAAATTTGGAGGAAATTTGTTCATGTTTGTAGGCTTTTGTCACCATCTATAATATGAAAGGAACAATTTGATGAAGCTTATTACTTGATGTTTGTAAAGATATAGAATCTAGGTATTGGCAACAAGCAGTAACAAATATTATGCATTTGCACATGCATTTGAAAGACTGCATTCTTGATTATGGTCCCTTAAGTAGTTTTTGGGTTTTTGCCTTTGAGCGATATAATGGCTATTTAAGAAAGTTCCCTACTAACAATTGCTCAGTTGAAATTCAAATAATAAGAAAAATATGTCGGGACCTACATTTTCGTAATTTGGCACTTTCCACTGAAAGTTTCATTGAAATACCTGACTTTGACTTTAATTTGAAGCAGGTACTTTGAGTGAAATATTGGTATATCATGACAACACTTCAATTAAAATGTCTATGCTACCACTTCAAAAACAAGTGATGTTCCTTCACACTTGTGGTCTCATGATAGTCATGTGCACTTTCTTGGAGGCAAAGGAAAAGTTCTCCTTGAAGAATATGACATAGATCGCTTGTACTATGTTTATAAAATATTATACACAGAAAATATGCTGGCTGCAGATAGAAATGATATGAGCAAGTTTGTAATTCAGTGTAGTAGAGTAGAGGCAAGGGGTCAATTGTGGGGATCAAGCAAAACTTCATCAAAAAGCTTTTCATTTATAATAGGAGCTTGGTGTGGCCTTGGTGGACAAGTAGTGACAGATGATGTGTTACTTTGTCCTGGTATAGTTCTTACTTACTTTAAACACAATGTACTCCTCAATATAGAAGGCACAACAAAGCTGTTGGTACATAATCTTGCTGAGGTAGATTGGTTTTGTTCACATCCATAGAGAAATCTTATAAGCTATCCTACTGAATTATACTGCAAAAATATTTTTGATTTATTTGGTAATGCATCATTCATTCCTTTTAATAGGATTTACTCTCAGTTTGTTGTAGGAGACTATGCTCTTGAATCTTATTTGTGTTTGTCCAACAATATCACAACACTTCCTGTAAAGAAACACTATCTATTAGACTAATTTACCTTCTTATGCTTGCTTTGAGTTTGTAGTTCAAAACTCTTGACTAATTGTTAATTTTAAGTTTGTGATATATCGAATACAAAATAAATCTAAAACAAATATATGATGCATTTACGTAGTGATATAAATTTAATAGTAAATATGAAATAAATTTAACTGGGTATATAAATACATTGTAAATCTATGTGCAATATTTACACAACATTTGTGAACCATAGCAAATATAAAGACAATATTCACTTCACATTTACAAGCATGCAAACATGACTCACATACTACTTTTGGTCTAGTAAATGATGTGAGGGAGTGAGACCAGTGATGGGAGTGAGACCAGTGAAGGGAGGGAGTGGGACCAGTGTTTGAAGGGAGTGATGGTGAGGCAGTAAGATGGTTAGAGAGTGAGGGTCGTGAGATGGTGAGAGAGTGAGAGCAGAGACAGTATGTGGGAGATGAATGAGTATATTACATGTAAGTGAAAGTGACACCAGTTGAGAAAGCAGTATTATGTCCAACATGGTGGATATCATACTGCAGAAAGCAGCCTGTAGCCTGACCCTTGTGGTGTAAGTAGTTATTGCACTCTTCACAAAACCATTTTGTGTCCTTTCTATTCTTTTGTAGTGAGCAGTAGTGGAATATATATTGGTTTCCATCACCAAATAGTGGATAATGTGCCATTCTGAAGTTCTTAGTAGATTCAGATGGCCTTCTTCCCTTCCCCTTTTTTGAACAATAACCATCTAGTAACTGTTGGGACAAAGCTGTCCGAAAAGCTTTTGTGGACTTCACATCTTGTAGGTCAGGGTGAGTTTTGGCTATTGTGAGGGAATTGGTTACAGCAATGTCTAATACCATCCAGAAGAGGTACTTGTAGTACAATCTGCTCTTGATTCTGACATGATCATACTCTCTTACCTGGTGATTTCTGTTTACTCCCCCCATGTATTTATTGTAGGTGATGATGGCATGGGGACTGGAGAAATTACAATGCTCTCCAGTCTTCATTTTTCTCTGAACCTCATGAAGTGATACAGTCTGGCAGAATGTAGAGCAAACTGTAATAAGATTTGTAGTCAGATTACGGTTGAGAGTACTGTGTCTGCTCTCACTCTCTTCTCTCATAGGAAACCCTTTCATAGCATGGACCTTTCGCTCCGTAAGGAAGCCCCTGCAATGAAATCATAGAGTTCCTGTTGCATACAGTCCTTCATGTAGTTCTTGAAAGAGATTAATGCTGGTGATGAAATTTTCACAGTATAAGTGATGGTGCTTGTGTACAAGGCTGCGAGAAAGATCTTTCACTACTCTCGCCCCAAGACCCCTCTATGGTGATATTTCCCTGCTTACATACACTTGGAATTGAGACACATCTTTTATGGCTATATGCTCTCACCGACACCTTTAAACCACGTCTCACAGGCTTCTTTGGCATATATTGCTTGAGTGACGAGTTCCCTTTGTATGGAACCATCACCTTGTCAATGGGGCATTCTCTGTTTTGATTATAAAGGCAAAACCTTTTTATCATACTTAGTACTTCCCTTACCTTCCACAGGTGATCTAGATCACTGCCATGTGCTTCATTGTTAGTAAAATGAAGGTACTTGTGAATGTCAATGAAGCGATCACGCGCCATTTTTTCAGCAATAGCTGGATAACAAAAAATTTTGTCCTTGCTCCAGTAGTTGTAAAGGTAAGGGAGATCAACAAGCCCCATCAATATCATGATACCAAAGTAGGCATACAGATCACTGGCCCCAAACTTTTCCCACTTCTCATACTTAGAATCTCCCATCACCGTTTGAGTGTAGTGATTTGTTTCTGTCACTGTATGGGTTACATGGACCTGGTCAAATATGAGTTTGAAGACACCTACTGCTGTTCTTGGCACTGGAACTGTAACTCAAGTAGGCTGGTCAAAATCCTCCACAAACATAGGTCCAAGCTCATCAGTCCACTGGTAATCCCTACAATAAATTTACATGTAATCACATTGCTGTATCTATTATTTTTATTATTATCATTGTTATTATTACCATTACTGTCATTATTATTATGGTCCTTATTATTATTTTTATGATTACATCACTCTTGCAGGTCTCGATAAACAGGTGTAGTCTCCAATGAATCATCATCCCTCTCAATACATCATCTGGCATGCTAAAAGTTCTTTTATAGAAATAATTGCTTTGCAATATCAGGTATACTTACTCATAATCATTGCTTCTGCAATCATACTTGTCATACTTCTCATCCCTTGCCATAAAACTTAGTATAATCGGTTTCATTTGAGTTGACACAGGAAGTAAATCAAATTTTGCATCACAGAACTTCATTCCTAGCTACACCCAAAAATGATGACGGAGTGCAAGCAAACTCTTTCATTGAGCGTTTCTTCCCCTCTGTGATCTTTTATTGTCTATTTTATCCTTGCTTTGGATACTACTACCTTTCATTATCAGTGGCTAGACCTTTCTGTTATAAATCTAACAAAGACCTTGGATACAGATAATAGCAACCTAGGTTAAGGGTGATGAAACCTACGGTGATGGAGAAAGCTGTAGACAGCTACAGCAGATGTTTCCCAGTAGTATAGGCTGCTAGTTGAATGCCTGCTTCTTTAAAGGACCTTATCGGTATGCTTTTATTCAATAAAATAAAAATTAATAAATTTGTTAAAATAATGAGATGCAAATGATATTCACGAGTGTGATGTAGCATGAACGTAATGATTCACCATGGCAGCTCCCATTGAACTAGAGCAGAAGAACCCGTTCAGAACCTTCAAAGTACCTAGGCTCAAAAATTGGTATAGATTTTCACAAGAACCTGTTACGCAACTGTACTAAGTTTCAAGTTGCTAGCATTAGTAGTAAATAAGTAATAAGGAGTGGTACTTGGGCAACTCAACTGAAACCAACTATAATTGTACTGCACATAGGAAATTTTGCTTTCTTACTCATAGTTGTTGAACTCTAGTTCATCATCACAGCCCAAGTCAAAGTTCTGACCAAAACCGTCATCATCATCAGCAGAAATAAAGTTCAGAACTTCATTAGCAGTAAAGGAAGTTACTATTTTATAATTTTGTATTTTGTTTTGCAATTTCATTGTACAAAAAAAGGACTTACATTGCTGCAAGTGCAACTTTACCACTAAAGATAAGACAATTTTTTAAGCAAGAGCGCAGTAAAGACAGCAATAAAATTGCCCGCTACGTAGCTTACTGTTGCGTAGCAATATTCCCGTGTGGCTGACCACACCCAGCACATATTTCCATTGAAGTGTTAGGCAAAGGAGCTGTTATGACTCGCTCGCCATTTTCTTGCTCTGACTTGACAAGCCCATTGTTGGTCAACACATTGTTTTTGTCCTTCTATCAATTTCGAGGTAACCTACCTCAGCCGCTAATCATTTCTGATGCATTCTGCTGTTTGAGTCATGCTACTGTAGTTTTCTACTATTTTACTGTGTTATGATAGTTTGACAATGTTATATATATTAGACAGATGATATTAGAAGTTATAGAAGCTATTTAGAAGCTATCTTGTTTTAAGTAACTAAGAAAATAATAAACCATGTACATAAATGTCAATTGTACTACACGTACGCATGCTAATGATGTTATCAGCAATAAATGGTTAATTTATGCGCATGTGATATAATTAACATGACCACATAATCATAACAGATAGTATTGTTTTTAAGAAACAAGAACGGAAACAAGTAAATAAAAAACATTAGAAATGAAATAGTAGTAGGATTGAATTAGAAAAAAGTAAAGAAACAGGAGGGTATTGCAAACTGGTGTGGTAAAGAAATCCTACACCACAGCATGAAGATACATGTGTCATAGTGTTATTGTGTAGCAGTCTGTGTGCTAGCATAGTTACAACTCATGCTTTGGATTGTATTCTTCATGGAGTGGTGTAGGATTTCTATACCACACCAGTTTGCACTACCGTCTTATTACTATCCTTTTTTCCAATTTAATCCTACTATGCTTTTCATTTGTAATGTTTCTTATTTACTTGTTGATAATAATAATAATGTGAGGCTAACCTCAGCTTCCAAGCCTGTGGCATCTACACCAGTCTCCCGAAAGTTTAAGAACCCCATCATCCAGAGTTGCAGCGGAGTTCTACTGTGCTCGGTTCTCAACAAATGATGAACCCAACCTTCATGGAAGACGTCAAGTTGATGTTTGAATAGCTGGTAGCATGACATTTTGAAATGAATACATATCCAGAGGATCGTCAATGTTCAGCAGCCCAGAGTCTTCCAAAAAGTAAGAGATTATTGAAAAAGCAAACATGACCAGAAAACAAGTCTCGCCATAGTCTCTCTATTCTCTGGTTGTGCACACTGCGTCCAGCGATGACACTTGCCCTTTTTGGACCTCTATCAGGATGGTTGAGCATAAAGTCAGACACGTGAGTTTTCTCTGCCTTTGTCTGTTCAAATTTGGGAAGGAAGGCCATATTTGTCTACTACGTTTCTTAAGTTTGAAAACACTGTACATGCACATTTATTATTTGATTCTTGTAACAATACTATTAATCTGCAGAACCCAATAATAACCTAATATTAGTATTACAAACTTCACCCTTATTAGTTTGTGGCATTTGTTTATATGCCACAAGACTATTAGGAGTAGACTCAACATTCCTCATGTGATTTTTAATGCCATGGGGCTCAACTCTATCAAGGGAATGTCTCGCCCTCTGCACATGTACTCAAGAACTGCGAAGGTGTCGAGAGACTGACTTATCCCCACAGTAGGGGTGGTGTTGTACAATACACCTGACAAGTGCATCCAGGTCATTATTTGTTAATAATGTATATTGTTTTAGTCCCAGATCTTCAATTCCTCACTCTACTGTGTGTCTGTAACAGCTAAACATGATTGCTTTATCAGAAACTTTAAAAATGCTTCAACAAACCATTCCAGTTGAAATTAGTCTATTTTCAGTCTTTGTCTCCGCAACGTCAAACATTTCACACAGAAATGTGTTACTGTTACTTGCATGATACAACAAAGTTCCCTCACTACTTCATAAAGTTCCCTTACTACTTCAACAAACTCTGACCTGACATAAACTGTTACACAGACATTTGCTTATCATCGAAATTCATATCAGAGGCTACCAAAAGATCCAGAATATCCTGAAATTCGTCTAAAAGAGGGAAGAGATTCAAAGGATATGCTTTTTCTTGTCCTAATTGTATAAGATTCCTTATTGCTGCCTTGACTGAACTAAAGAAGCGGTTCCAAGTGGTTGCATTTATTTCCAGAAGGCATGGTTTGGGCGTGGCCTTCTGCCTGCCAGCCAGCTAGGCCAGCGCTGCAACTGCATCATTCCAGTAATTTTCAGCATTAATCCTTTGTATAGCTAATGGCATGCATTCCGCGCTTTCCACATTGCTCACACTATGTCAATGATATTTCTTCCTTTTTGTTGCACTTGGCATTCCATAGAATACTTTGAAAACCAGGCTAGATGCTCAAAATTGGAAATTGAGATTTATCCATTTTTAATTAAGCACAGTTTTTCCTTATAATTTGTTACCTTTCCATTTCGTTTGTCACATTTAGTGATGAGTAATGATTATTTTTGCAAAAATTAGCCTAAACAGATGCAATTGAGTTACAGCCATTGTTATAAATCTTGCATTATTTACATGGTGCACAACAAAAAGAAAGGTCTGTAAAATACCTCTTTTAAGTTATTTATGAGCAAACTTGGTATCAAAATGAATGAAAGAAATTTTTTTTATGCCATACATTTTTCATATAATCTCAGTTCTGATCAGGAACAACTATCACAACTTTGAGAAATCATATCTCTAACTGATGATTCCAGTAGATAGCCTGGTTTTCCCATATCTGTTCACAAATAATGAAAGTTATTCATTATGACTGAGAAATGAAGAGTGGTAAACATTAATGGAAAATGAAGTGCAAAACTAAATGAAAAAAGAAGAGTTGCAAACATTACTGATAAATTAAATGAAAACATGAAGAGTTGTAAACATTAGTGATAAATGAATAGTTTTAAAGTATAATGATAAATGTCAGTCAAAAAGTAAAGCTATTTTGTTAAACTCATTTTAACTAAAGAGACACAAAGTATTACTGAAACTACGAGGTGTATTAGACATTGCACATGCTTTAAGGAGCAGCTCCTTGTTGGACAAGCTGCCTGAGATACAGTCATTTACTCAAGACTTACAGCCCAAAATTGACTTGTAAGAATTAGATAAGTTAATTGGAGGCTTCAGTAATCTGTGGCAAATATTACATTTCAATGTATTAAGTAATAGGCCTTTTAGTGCCATGGGTACTTCTGTATCTTTGGTCAAACTCATCAAAGATTTAAAGCTATTATCTAATTCACTTAGACTTCAACTTCTTCCATTGACTTTGCGTTTTGAATCCAAAGGAGTTGCTCTTAAATCAGTCTTGGAGCAACATAAAACTTTTTTGCTGGCTGTTTCCAAAAATTTAATCCTACACCAATTACAAAAACTCAATTTTAATTATGCAAACATTGATTTACCACATGTGGCTTCACAATCAGTGACCTCATTACCGTCTGAAGTAACTAAAACATACTTGAGTCTTCATGTTTTTTCAATGTGTCCTGCAATAATTCATGTTAGTTGGTGATGAATCAGTGTTAACGAAAGCGTACATAGCTTTAGTGATGTCCCTTTTCTTCTTTCCTATCCTTGCCTTTGTTACCCTTACAAGTAGTTGGTACTAGACTAATTTCCAAAAACACTCCTAAGTAG